GTAAGAACCGGAATGTAGGAGTGGAACAAAACACCAAACCATAGAAGCTGTTACACAGGAGCTACAAAAGTATTCCAATCTGAGCACAGCAAGACATTTAGAAACGGCACTTTAGTTGCCTGCCTGACCACACATGTCGAGCCAACCAGTTTATTACCCCGACATATTTATTGCTCATATGAGGGCAACACTGACCGGTTTGGCTCTGTTCCTAAGCAGCATTACAATATTGCGGCATAGTTCAAGTGTGCTATACCCAGCCACTAGAAAAGGGGCATCTGCTGCCCCGGTGAAGTAAAGCATGAATACACAGTGTAGGCCGTACAGCTCCAGCTCATGCTGCATTGGACTTGACCAAGCCAGGTTGGTGGCGGGATCAGATAGATGGGCCAGCTGAACGTCTCTGCTATAGTTTTAATGAGCTGATAGGCAAATCCCATCCTGGTTAAAGATTATCCACTAGCTCGAGCTGCCACTGCATTATCTCCCCATTGGCCCGGGGCATACAGGAGCCAAGAGGATTTACTTCACATGAATGTGTGAGTGAGAGAGAAAGAGAGAGAGAGAGTGAGATGGAGTAATCTGCATTCCAAACAGCAAAAGGGTGGAACTGTGTGTGTGTGTGTGTGTGTGTGTGTGTGTGTGTGTGTGTGTGTGTGTTTGTTTGACTATAGGAGTTGGTGATCGGCTTTGCTCCCAGCGGGGTGTTAAAACTGTGTGTTTACTGTATGCCATTTAGCAGTCAGTCTGCTGTGTGCGTGTGTGTGTGGATGGGCGGGATCATGGTTGTGTGTGGTTTGTTGTAATCTACATTCCTCTTCTTTCAGGGCTTTGTTTTGTTTTCCCTTAGGGCGTAACAGCATTCAAAGGGTTAATTGCATCAGGAAGCTTGGCGTGTAACAGACTCCTTTAACTCTTGGGTTGTCAGCTAAAATATTTCAATTTTTGCCACAGTGCCAAAAGGTCTAATGTATTCCTTTCTCCTAAGACCTTTGCATCAGGGTTCTACATCTTGAAAGTGGATGCAGCCTTTGTCATTTTAATATTCCATAATAACATACTTTTATTTACTTTTTTTGGGGTGTCACTGGATTAAATGATTGTGAGATGTGTGCCGTTTCATCTACAGAGGACTCTCTCTGATTATCTGGGAGACAATGCCATCTGCTGGATGTTTGAAGAATGTAGAGCCAGGGACTGCCTAAAATACTGAGGAAGTGTGTAACTGAGTGACGGAAAGAGGTGAAGGCAGGATCACTTATCTGGAAATTCATGAGACATTACTCATCCTGGATTAATAAGGCTATTCAGCATTACTTGGTGTGAAAAGAGAGCCGTGGCTTGTGGCTTTCTGGTTTTAGAAAGAATACGTGGAAATACGTGGAGAGACTTCTCTTTTGTTAGACCATGCACACCCACATAACCCACAAGTGTTGAACTGTGCTATGGTGTAACTGGTAATCTATGAGCTTTCAGCAGTTAGGGGTTACGTCGATTTCTGATAGCTGCGCTTCTCTTTTTGTAAGTTTAGGGCACCCTTGCCTTTATTGGACATGAGACAGTGGAAATGACATGCCACAGGACGCCCCATGAGCTACACTTCTACTTCTGAGTACCAGCAGAGGGGGACTGAACAAAGCATCATTTTTTTGGAACGCTACGATAGCACCTGCAACCCCCTCAGCCCCTGCCATGACATGGGATTGCTGGGGTTTGCTTCCTACAAGCTTCTTTAGACCGACAACATCAACGAAGACAGCAAAGAGAGGGTCTCAGGGTGAACCTCGGGATGCCAGAGAGGAGAGGGGTGAGTGGGACGAAGATGGAAGAGAGTGAGGCGGTCCTGTGTTTTCTCAGGGGAGTCCTGAGGAACAGAAAGCAGCTTTGTCGAGAGTTGGCCTTCGGCACAATGCTGGCCACCGTGTAGCTTTATCTCCTCCGTCATTGCTCTTGCTCCCTCGCTGTTGTGAGAAAAGTAGCAAGTGACGGAAGGAGGAAATGACTAAAGAAACGACTCATTCACACCCCTGCAATGACAGCAGGATGGACAGAGGGGAAGTCAAACCCACGCTTTTACCCTTTTCCTAACTCCTCCACCCCCGACAACTATTACGCATTGGTCTCCTCCACCCTTATAAGAACTCCTCATAGTTTATAGTGCATTTGTCTGCTTGTAGCCTGTGTGCTGTGTGTGCTTGGCACTGTTAGTATTCTTAGCTGACTTCCTTGTTTGTATGATTACCTATTTATTTTGTATGTAGTTGCCTGTCTTACACTTACATTTTTCATGATGAGCATTTTCAGTTGTTACAGAACAATTATGCTAATAAAGCAAGTTGAATTGATTCAGATATTCTCACACAAAAGGCTTTCTCTTTTTTGCTGTCAGACTTGACACAGGCCAGGACATGTCCTCTTTCTCTTTCCTTCTTGTGTCTCTGGGTCTCTCTCAAGAAGGGAAGGGCGCCTCACATATTTACCCCCCCCAATCCATCCATCTTTCCACATGCACACATACATACACTGCCTGTCGCCCCCCAGCAATGGGGTCAGATGTTATGACCGGCTGAGCACTCTTCTCCTCCTCAGCTCTTCTCGTCCTCTCCCCTCCCCCTCCTCCAGCGTCGCCTTGGCAGGGCATGCATGCCTGTCTGTGTCTGTTATCTACAAATGGCTGAGGAATTATAGGTTGAGAGGGGAGGAGGAGGAGGAGTGAGGGAGAGTGTGAGAAGGGAGGGGGGGGGTGAGGTCATGTGACATCGCAGCAGCTGCTAGGCTAAGAATTTCTGTTTTCTCACTTAGAGAGGGAGCTAGAGCAAGGAGGGGAGAGATAGGCAGCGTGTGTGGTGTGTTGCTTTGTTAGATAAGCTCAAACCGGTCTTTGTGAGCGGCAGCGCGAGGGACGGGAAGGCAGTCGGGCAGGGAGGCTGAGAGGGTGGACGGGTGAGAGGAGATAGATAGACGGAGAGCAAGAGAGAGAGGAGCAGGAAGATGGTGTGTGTCCTGTCGGTGGCTGCCGGTATGTGCCATTCTGGGCTCAACGTGAAGATGCAGCCATGGGGGATCCAGGCGGCTCCACTCCTTTGTGCAGTAAGGAGCTTCAGCCACGCTCTTAATCTATGAGGGGGGGGGGTCATGAACTGCTGCCAGACCTCCGGATATGTGTTCCTGTGTGTGTTTGTCAAACTATTGTCGTCTCTGCTTTCACTGTGTTACTCTCATGTGTGTCTGTGGTCGATACAGGCAGAAGTACGGTGTGCTCTGTGTACTATGTTAGGCTTGGCAGAAAGTTCCTTGTTTATATCTTTGACTCCCCTCTCTGAGGGAGGAAGGTACGCTAATATCTTGACAAAGTCACGTTACTAGACTGGGCAGTTGGTGTGTGTGTGTGTGTGTGTGTGTGTGTGTGTGCGCTTGCTTGTCTCTCAATGGCATAGTGTGTGTTGTTCAGACAGTAGTCATTGTTGATCCCATTATTAATTGTGTGCTGGGTTCACTTTGAGTGCACTGGGTAACTGGGAGGTTACAGGCAGGACAACTCGAGAGGTGTTGGGAATGTTCACTCTGTCATGCCTGACCTGCTGCTCTGTGTCCACACACACACGTGTGCGCACACAGACACACACACACACACACACACACACACACACAGACAGCCTCTGCTCTCTTTTCAGGCGGGAACATGATCTTTTTATAGCCGTCTCAGCCTCTGGTGTAAACCCAGATATAACTCCTACATGTTTAATTGTGCTGTTGATATACTGTTAGTAAGCAGCTTTTATTTCCATGAAAATGTCTTTGTCTTAGAAGTTGTTTAGCTGGAAGTTTACTTCGAATGTGGATTTGAGGAGGATACGGAACAATCCTTAGAGTGTTGTGTGTGTGTGTGTGTGTGTGTGTGTGTGTGTGTGTGTGTGTGTTTTGATGTATCGGTTAATACGTGTGTCACACACAAACTGTCCTCTGAGCCACCCTCTGTGTGTGTGTGTGTGTGTGTGTGTGTGTGTGCGCCATTCTGACATTCAGGGATTCCACTGACCGAGGAGCTGTCAACACAGTGTCACCTTTCAACACACACACAAACACACACAGGAAGAAAAGGGACAGCCGTCTCAACCCTCCACACCCTCCAACCACCACAAAGCTCTTATAAATATGAGGCTAGAAAGAGACATGACACATCAAAATCACTCTTTTCACTGTTGAGTGAACTTTTATTTTTTAGGGTTGAACTGAACGTTTTCTTTTATACTCTTAAGTCTCAGAACCAATGACTTAACAAATCCAAAGATTCATTCAAAACTCATCGTCTAAATTTAGCAGCTGGCAGTATTTGAAACATCACAGTTTATTTCCTCTTCCAGTGTTCTCGAACTTCCTGACAGAGCTTTTAGTAGCACCTCCCTGGCAGCATTAATTGGATCACGTGTAATATGAATGGGACGCTTTTTTTTTTTAATGTGATCGCTGTGTGTGAGAGCCAATGAGTTGCTAATTTGTTACATTTCAACGCGGTGGGCACTGGATGAGTTTACGCTGAATTTGTTAACATCTGCGGTACTATAATATACTGCCACTAAGGAATAAAGTCACCCTGGTGGTGTTGGAGCGTGCTCATTATAGGTTTTGTGTAACCTCCATGACCATGGACCTCTGGCAGACACACAGCCAGACTGGAGCTCTTTGAGCACAGAAAGGGTGACCTGTCCTCCTAACCTCCCACCTCTGACCCGAAGCCATACAACTAAAGCCCCTCTGCCCCAGCTGTCACAAACAGACACCCAGCACCACACTCTGCCCTGACTGTCTCTGTGTCCAAGGAAACAGCTATGTGTCTCACTTGGTTTTGCATATTTCTTGCAGCGTATGCGTTTGTATGTAGCACTGAAGGTATTTATAAAGACTCCAGCCCTCCTGACTCATGTGTTTGTTGGTTCTTCTTGAATGCAGTATCGATTATAAATACTTCCCCATTCTCCTCCCTTTTGTCTTGTTTGTAGGCATGAGCCATGAGCCAAAATCACCATCGTTAGGAATGATCTCCACGGCGACCCGTACCACGGCGACGGTCAGCCCCCTCACCCCGTCGCCTCTCAATGGCTCCATCGTAGCCAATGGAAGCCCCGCTGCCCAGTCTGCTCACTCTGGATTTGCCGCAGCCCTCCGTAAACTGGCAAAACAGGCCGAAGAACCCCGAGGTAAAGCCACACGTGACAGGGATTTGCCATTCGTAGCACTGTCGAGTTTAATTCTGCTGTATGGCAGTTTTAGGCTGTATAATTAATTAAGAACATGTGTAATAATCTGTTTGCGCTACTTGTTTGGTGTGATATAAGCACAGTTGTGCTCTCTGATGTGGCTTCCACTGTTCAAGCTCATTTGGTGATTGGAATTAAGTGTTATGTATTCATTCAACCGGTTCAGAATTAACTTACATCTTATGGTTTGCAGTTTGTGTTTATATTTCTCAATATGTTTTAGTCTGCAAAAACCTTTGCTGAAAATATGAAATATGAATATCAAACCATGATAAGAGCTAAATGTGTTGTTACATCCAGTGCCCTGACCCTTACTTGCAAACCTGATGGATTAGGTGTTCTGTACCCTCTGTACGTGTGTGTGTCTGTGTGTGTTTGTGTGTGTGGGAGGGGGGGGGGGGGTGTGTGGGGGGGGGGGTGTGTGTGTGTGTGTGTGTGTGTGTGTGTGTGTGTGTGTGTGTGTGCTCTGTGCCATGTTCCATGGCCGGTTTGTGTAGCTGAGTGCAGAACTGCTAATAGCAATCGGATGATATCCACACCGGATTGAATTAGTTGGTGTCTCTAGAGATATTGGGACGAAGAGGAGCCACTCTAGCTGACCCACTTAATGTGCTGTGTGTAAGTGCACGAATGCTTGTGTGTGCTTGTCAATGTGTGTATGATGGTGTTGTAATTTCTCCTTGTCAGTGTCCACACACATACACGGGAAGCATGCCACAGAATTCCCAACTCTCAGCGTTTTATCCTGTGGTTGTATTGGGGCTGCACGATTGCTAACGATTCATTTTCCAATTAGTTTAATTATGCAACAACAAATGTGTTGATTATGCTAAAGATTATGTATGACTCCAAATTACCATAACAATTATTTACCCAAAATAAATATCAAAAACTTAATATTTCAATATTATATTCAATCATCTTCTCTTAAAAACAAACAAATGTAATAGACCCTATTTGTCAGATGACAAATACCTCAAATACAAAAAGATTGCTGTCGCTCATTGAATAAGATAATAATCACTGTATGTCATCGCAACCGTGTCCCTGTATTTTTACTTCCCCAGTATTGTTTTTTACTGAAGTACTCGACTTAGAAACTTAAAATGGTTATGACGTGGAATGATTTCATCACATGAGTAGTATGCAGTTAAGATTATCACTGGCAAATGTATTTTTGCATCAGTGTGGGCCAAGAGAAAATAATTCAGTCACAGACTATGACAGCAGTCAGTAACGTTAGTTTAAGTCATTTTCTTACTCCTACACGGCTGTTAAAGTAAAATATAAAACTCTCGAATAACAGCGCTTGATGATGCATGCATGGCGTAACGTTACATTACCACAGCGATGCAACAATTACTTATAACATGGGGGTGATGAAGAAACATTTAGAAAATCAATTCTTGCGATGCGGCGACATGCCTTTATTACGACGTTGATTACGGCCATTAATTACCCTAGATTGTATGAATATGAAATGAGCATCAGGTGGTTGAATTTGCTGGTTATTAACTCGTACGACCATATGTCAGAAGTTCTGAACCATCCCTTTAATGCTGCTTGTTCAAAGATCCATGAAGATCTATAAATGGTCTCGAATACTGATGAACATGCCAATCTTTTTCAAACTCGTGTGCCTCGTGTCTCTTGATTACACATATATAAACATAAAAAACAAGGGTACAAAGCAGAATCTACACAGGAGAGTCTTAGTTGGAAGTTTATTGAGTGTGTGTGTGTGCGCGTGCGCCCATATGTTTGTGTGGCTCCATGCCTTGGCTCCGGAGAGGCCCAGCTACCCCAGCTGTCCACCCTTGCTCTGGCTCTTAAATCAGATGCTCCCCTCCTTTCTGGCTGTCCCTGGACACCTTGCTCCCCAGCCCACTGCAGCCTGGGACCCAGAACCCTGCACATGATTTATTACCCCCAGAGAGAGAGAGAAAGAAGTCGGTCCCAACCTCTCCTCACCTCCCTCTCAATCCTTCTCTCCTTCATCTCTCTTCACTCCCTCAACCCTACATGGCAGCCTTATTTACTTTCTCACCCTGTCTCTCTCAAACAGAAACGTCCACTCCCAGTGTTCCGGCCTGTCTTTTCGTTGTATCGTGGACTCACCGTTTTTTTTATTGGATTTTTTCCCTTCTTATCATTGTTGCTCATCCGTTTTTTGTGTCAGTTGCAGCCGGAGAACTCGAGGGTTGCGTTCTCTTACTTGTGTTTTTTAATACCTCAGCTTTTTTATTTTTTATTGTGCTACGAGGTGAGAATAAATGTGCGCGGTTGCATTTGTAATTTTCATTCTACCAAGGCAGAGAGAGCTCCTGTCTGTGTCTTTGTCATACAAACAGACACCAGATCCTGTCTGATTAATCTCTGCCACCTTTTTATTAAAAGCACACAAAAAAAAGCCCCTTTGTTATTTTTGAAGCCTGCTGACTATGCTGCGTGGCTGGTGTAGGCAGCGATGTTTGAGTGACTCAGCCGTCAGGCATAAGGGGCAACTCTGTCCGTGTTAGGAGTACCGGCTCCAGGGTGGGCAGAGGCATGTAGCCCCTGGAGCTCCAGTCACCTCACTGTCTGCAGAGCCTGTATTTATAGGCAACACACACACCCAAACACCCCCACACATGCTAACAATTGTCTTTGCAACTGTGTATGCCTTGTGATTTCTTAGCATGCTTCAGCCTGCTGTCCTTTCATTAGCTACTTTGACTCAACCTCTCCTTCTCTCTCTCTCTGTCTCTCTCACCCTCTGGTTCATGCTTTGAGGTGATTATTGCAGTATATATGAGGTGCCATGACTCAGTGTCCTAAGGCCTAGAGGAATTAGTTAGGGTTGAGTACTAGTATCACTGCCATCGGCTGCTGAACTGATTTAAGACCCTGAGCACGGCTGCTGTTCATACACACACATACACGCAGAGACATAGACACAGACGCATACATTGTCACTTGTCTGTTGTTAGTATAATGAATAGATCTGTGTACTGTGTGCTGCGCTGAAGAGGGGAGGTGATGGATAATGAGTATCAGAGCAGCGTAAAGGACACACTCTGGTCCTGTGTACATTCGCATGTGTGCGCAAACGCACAACTCGCACAGATAACACACTGCCTCAAAAAGGCAGGCCTGCTGATATCTGATTAATGAGGCAGACCCGGGTTTAATCCTCTGTTGTTTCTTCGTGCACACTCTAGACACATGCACGCCACCAGAATGTCACGACGGCGTTCATACCGACTGTAGTGCCCGGAGAGAGAATGAAGGGAGAGTAGAGGTGTACAAGATAGATGGACTGAATTGGCTGGAAAAAAGAGGAATTGGAAGTAATTAGTGTTATTTGTTTGTCAGCTTCAGTACATGTATGTGTATGCGTGTGGCCGGAGGCTTCCCTTTTTTCTGGGAGCCCAGAGCATGCTGGGACATCGGGGCAGTGTGTCTCTGACCTCTCCATCTGGAGCCTGCCTGGGGCTTGTGTGTGTGTGTGTGTGTGTGTGTGTGTGTGTGTGTGTGTGTG